ACAATTTGCCTGTGATTACTGATCAAACTGGATTAAACATGGACTGTGTCCCCATTTCAGGAACATTGTTTGTTCAGCTGCAAGATAATCTGTTTCTGTGCTTTTTAAATTGAAGTGACCTGGGAGATTTACAATTTGGGGTTTAAGCCACTTTACTAGTGTATTGAGATTGAACAGCAAAGTGTTCAGAAATATGTTTTGTTCTATTTGGGTGTCGCCAGCAAAGCTGGTATTGATTGTTCATTCCCAATTACCCTTGAAGGTGGAGGTGAACTGCCTTCTTTCAACTGCTGTTGTCCATATGGTGAAGGTATCTCTACAAACAGACAGCATCATAAATCCATAGTCATCGTGAGTGTTAGGTTGAATAAATGCAGCTTAAATTGCTTAGCTCAGGGTTATTCAGAGTTTGGCTGATGCTGAGAATCTGAACTGCATGATGGAGAATAGCCCAGGATTGCAAAACCACAATAGAAACCTTTGTTTCACAACCTTGAAATACTCCCACATGTACCTGTGGATTTGCTATGGTATTCGTCTCTACCAGCTGTTGCTACACAGCCTGGTCACCATGTACAACACTGCCATCCCTGTAAACTCCCAAATATCCCAAACTGCTAAAGGTAACACGTCTGAGGACCTCAGCATTCTCATTTGGAATTTAATTACTGATGCAGCATCAGAGTTCAGAGGAGTTCTTTCCAGACCTCCAGACACAAAGATTAGCCAGTTAAAGAAAGTAGAAGTGCACTGTGGGGACTATAGGTTGCAGAGCTGTAGAGTTGCATTCCAGCATTCTCCTCTCCTCCCCTCTTCTTCCCCCTCCTCCACTGCCCCGTTGAACTAATTTCTGTGCTTAGTGTGCTAAGGTAAGCTGCACTCAGGGTCATGTGAGCTGTACAGCAAATTCTTTGTGTACTGTAACATGTGCCACATGTATACTCTACCCTGAACCATGTCCATATAGTACTAAGAGTAATGTGCACTGTACTGCAGGCTGTGTGTGTACTGTACGGTGGGTAACATACACTGTACTGCAGGCAGCATGTGCAAATTACACAGCCATGCTCACTGCACAGCAAGTGACCATGCTGTATCTTGGCCCCCATTTCAAAAGCTGGCTATCCACCAGGTGAAGGGCCATGTGCCCTCCCTAGGTCTGTTGCATTATCACTGAATCAAAGTGCTTTTTCTGGGCAGCGCTTTGCTCGAGCTGATAAACGGGGGAAGCTGCCTCGCTGGATTCAGGAACACATCACAGACAGTAACCTCAATCTCACTGTGGATGAAGCAGCGCAAATAGCCAAGTACTTCCTACGACAGATGGCACAGCCTTTCCAACAGGTTAGCTGTGGAACTGACATAGGCTCCTGCCTTACTGCCTGTCTGTCTATCTTGTTCTTTCCCTTCCTGTCTATCCTGCTGTTTCACTCTCTCAAATTTTCTTTTGTTCTTTGCTCACACAGTTGCTTTTTCTTTCGCTCTTGTTTTTTGCGTGCTCTCTCTCTCTCGTGCTCTCTCTTGCGCTCGCTGTCATTTCTTCCCATACTAGCTCTCATACAGCCTGCCTGCCTGCCTTTGGTTCTTTCCTACTTTCTCTGTGTCTCTCTTTCTAGTCTTCTCCTTCTATATGTTGCTTTCCCACCCGCCATGCTATCACCACACGCTCTCTCCTCTCTCCCCAATCTCTTTTTGTACTTTTTGAATGTCTGTCTGTATCTGTTGCTCTTGGTGATATTTAGATGAAGGATACATGTGGACCAGAGTATTGGGGAGAATTTCAATACTTTTCCAATTCTCTGTTATTTGTACCCCTGTGTTTGCCTCTGAGAAGCTGTCAATGTGGCCCTAACTAGTATTTTATTTATGATTGGTTTCTGTTTTTCCTGATTCCAACCGCAGGAGGATCAGTTGGGATTGTCACTGCTCTCACTGGATCAGCTCGAATCTGAGGAGATACTCAGCAGAATCCAGCAGATCTCTCACCAAGTGTGAAGGGAGGATGGGCAGGACCTGTTTGAATACCAACACAGAGCCTTCCACCTACAGTATTTGCATCAGTCTGAGCTGCTGCTTGTGAGTGGTGACTCCCTGCACTCTGCAAGAGACAGGATTTGCACAGTGGCCTGAGGCCGTTAGTAGCGGGAGGGGAAAGGCAGGGTCAATCTGTGTCCTCTGCAGGTACTGACTAACGAGAGTGTTTCCTGTGTCCAAGCATTGATTGTAAAATATTGGGAACTGACCTCACAGTTGATAAACAAGATTTTGTACTGATCATCAAACCTGCTTGTTCTTTTCACCTTGCGTCCGGCTTTGACATTGATCACTGATGTACAGGGGCTAGAAGACTGGTTTTACGTAGAGCAAGAGATCATGATGAGGAAAAACTGAAAACATGGTATTGATGCAGCGCCGTGCTGTCGCAGGGTCCGTGCTGACAGAGCACCGTGCTGTCGCAG